GCGCTGCTGCCGGTGCTTGGGCAGGCGCTGCCGGTCCCTCCATGGGTGACGGAGGCGGCTGTGGCTGCAGGCGAGGGATTGCCTGGCCGAGGGAATAGCGCCAGGATGGTTTTGCCCTTGTAGGGACTGCGAGGGGATGGGCTTCTAGTTTGGTACCAGGGAACCTCTCCGGTGCTGTGAGTGATGGGAGAGCAGGTGATGAGGCCACCTCCAGCCATGGGAGTTGGTGGCCATCACCGGGCACCCAGATCCTTCCACGACACGCGTGTGCTGGCTGCAAACTGGGTGGCTTTGGAGGGCTGGGGGGCAGAGCAGAGCATGTTCAGCTTCAAAAAAAACCCAAACCACCAGCCCTGTGCCACCATCCCGTGTTCCCAGCCACAGTCACCTCCTGGTGAAAGCTCGGGCTGATGCTCACGCCAGGCTGGTGCCGTCCCCACGGCTGGGAAACTATGTGCTCCCAGCCCTGCGGGGCACCCATCGGCCCCCAGAGCCGTAATGACCATGCTCTTCTGTTGAGAGGAATTAATGAGCTGTGCCGGACAACGATGGGAAAAGGCGGATTGCAGTGAGGCTCCCGACACCGCTCGGAGGAGCTGGGCGTGGAGGAAGGGGGAAGAGCAATAGGGTGAGAGAGATGGACCAGAAAACGATATCCACTTCATTAGCCAGGTGGCTCCAAATGTGTGGAAACAGGGCAAGGTCCAGGTCACCCACTGTGACAGAACATTATTATCATGCGATGCCATGAAGCCTGTGCAAAGACCAAGTCAAAGCTCACCAGCCCACTTGAAAGGGAGAGGAGACCTTCTCGGAGCGAGAGCCAGGCTGTTCCCAGGCTGGCGGCAGGGGGGGGGGCAGCCTGTGCCGGGGGGGTCTGGGCGCTCATCCCGGCTCCTGCTCACCCCCCGGCACCCCCAGGGCCTCCCGCAAGCTCTGCCAAGAGCCTGCGAAGGGGGCAGCCGTGGGAGGACAGCCTGGGGGGCACAGCGGGACTAAGCCCACGTCCCGGTGGCAGCGGGTGGTTGCTCAGGGATGGCAGCGGCTCTCCGAGGTCCCCCAGCCCCAAAGGCGGGTGGGTGGTTTGGCGTCTCACCCGGCAGCTGGGACCAGGGGAGCTTTGGGGTGATCAGAGACCCGCTGCGGTGCGGAGGATGAGAGTACCTACGGGTGTGAGGGACCTGGTGGGCACGCACCGCTTGCTCATCCTTGCAGGTGGTGAAGCCGGGCACAGCAGGGACACTCACCCGGCACCCCGGTCCCTGCCCCCTATAGACACAGGGAGGTTAATCCATCTGGGTGCTGAGCTGACCTGAGCAGCACTGGCACTGGGAGAGGACCAACCCATTGGCGGTGGGCACAGCAGAGCCAGGGAACCCCCCCACACCTCACCGCTGGTGCGGCAGAGCGAGGGCTCACCCGGTGCAGGATGGGTGCGTAGGGAACACCTTTACCTGCCCCACTGAGCAGCCCTGAGCAGGCGGGAGCCGAGCCGGGGAAGATGCTTGGCCACGCTGGGAGCCAGGAGGGAGGGGGTTTTGGGGTTTTTTTCAGTCCTCTCTTCAATAGGTTGTGCTCAGCCTGCCGCGTGCCCAGGAAAAACCTGCACGGCCATCGCGCGCTCATCCACAGACTCCCTCCCCACCACACGGAGAGGTTTCTCGCTCCCTTTGGGATACCCTTGACTCCCAGCCCTCCTCCCACTCCCGGCTGCAGCTCTGTCCCCCGAAGGGCAGGGGGGCTCCGAGGCTG